ATTTAAGCACCTTGTGCCAAAAAGACTTCTTCCCTGGATAAATTGGACTGTTTATGTCTCTGCCCCATGCCTTTCTCTGATTGCTTCTGAGTAGTTGTAGAATAATGTATATGCACAGGCTTCATAAACATTAGGGTTGACTATGATCCTATGAAGGTTCCACTTTGGCTATTTATTTCCCTGTTAATCACTGTTAAACTTTTTTCTGGCTGTTCTGCTCTTTTGTTTATATCAGAAATATCATCCATAGTTCAGCAATGTCTTCATTGTTTTCAACAACACACTTAGGCATGAGTTCTCCACTCACTGTTCCAAATAACATCTACCCCCTCATGCATAATCGAGAAGCTCTTTACTCTTAAAGCTTGATTATTCCTAGACAGAACCCTTGTGTCATTGCACTGAAGCTGCTGGTGAGAACCCACTTTCCCAGAGTAATATCCCTATTCTGAGAATGGGCATTGGCAGAATGGAATGTCAGCTCTGGTTCTGTCAGATTGCCCCTCCAGACATGGAACCTCCACTCTATCAGCAAGGTAGTAGCTAGATAGTTGGGGCTGGGATCCTTTACCTGCAGTACGTAAGGTAGAGCTTTCACCCTATGAGTGTAGATAGTGTGTGAGAAGAGAGACCAATTCTTCTGCATACCTGGAGTAAAGTTTCCACACCTCAGAAACAAGAGGAATGAGAAACACCAGCAGCCTTCACATCCTGGGATGAAAATATATCCCCAGACAGCTGGGTGAAAGGGATCTACCATATTCTTTTTTGCGCATGCCTAGGGTAGAACTTAAGTAACAAATAACTGGGAATGGATGGGTAATCAACCAAATTGTGGCTCAAATGCCTCAAACTCTCACTGTTCTGACCAAAACATTAAATTCTCCTTAACAAATGTGTCTCCTAATGCTCTATGGTTTTAGGAAAATCTCCAGAGACTTCAAAATCTTTTTTCTTTTGTAATTTTCTCTGGTTCAGTTGCTTTACTAAGGAGGGAGTCTAACATGCTCCTTATTCCATCATTTCAGAAGCTCCATCTTCAGTGTTGATTTCATATGTTTTATGCCTATAGTTTCTAGTCCAGTATCTTCCAGCTTGATGTTTGATTATCTCCTCGTTTGTTATTGCTAAAAGAATGAATGAATGAAGTTCCTGGGAAAATGGTTGGGAAGCTCTCCAGTGTAATGTTTCTGTGTCCTGCACAGTTACTCTTTCTCCTCATGCCTTGACTCAAATTTGGGAAGATGGTCTTGTGTCTTTACCTTCCCCCACATCAATGGTAGCACCATTTCTTTCTTTTCTTTAATTCTTTTTTTTTTTACATGTTGCAGAAAGATGTTTGATTATTGAAATTGTTTTGAATTATTCCAAACTTTATTATACGTATTTGATATTTTAGCTTGTTTCAGATTTTTTCCACAAATTTCCATAAAATAATCAGCTATTGTGGGGGAAGTCGGAAATATTTGCAAATTCATTCTTTTACCTTTTCCTGTTTCTCTGGAGAGGTCTGGGTTTTGCTCTCAGCATTGCACTTGCTAGCTGTGAAGAGAAACTTGGTGAAGCTCTGTCTTCTCTGTAAAATGGGGTTAAGGTTCTCCCTACTTCCTGTAATGGAAAATCTGGAGAAATCAAATCAGATTATGCATGTAAAATCACTTTTAAACTGTAAAACCCTAGCTAAATACGTAAAGTTGTTAAAATTAGTTTCCTAACAATTGAGTAAAAGGATTCCATAGAACTCTGCAGGGTCAAGAGACAAGGCTGATGGTCCAAAGATATGTCGGAGCCCAATATCCCATAAAGAGAAATAAAGTCCTGAAAGGAATGTGAATTTTCAAAAGCAGTGGGAGGTCGGTGAGAAGGTGAACAAAGGTACTGTTTCTTTCTAGCATATAGAAGATAGGCTTTATGCATCCTCCCTCCTTTTTGCAACATTGTATATTCAGTGTCTGAGGACACTTAATCTAAAAATTTCATTCATAAATCTACAGGCAAATCAGGTTTTAATAATCTATCATGCCACCCCAGAAGTTTTAATGTGGGTCTGAAGATTTACTGTGGCACTGGACCATATATCTGGTGATTTCCCATCTGTATTACTTTCTGGTAAAACAAAACAAACAAAATCAAATTATTTTCTCCCTAACAGCCCTAAGATTTTTGGAAGAATGCAGCTGATGTCTCTTGGAATCATCTTTACTATTGGCTTTAAAAATATCAAAGAATACTATTGCCATTCCTTAAGTCATGGTTCTGGGTTTATGCTCTCAGCCTATACCTAGATTGAATACAGTGAACTTGTTTCTGATAAATACCATCAGAATCTACCCTCTTGTGAACTGGACATTTCTTCTTTTAATGCAGCCTAAAATGGCAGCAGATGGGCTGTGGTATTAAGCATTGTCAGATGTTTGTGGCTTATGTTCTGAAAGTCATCACTGTAATATACACATTTCTAAATAAAAATGCATCTATAAGAGTTTGAGCTGCAGTTCTAATAGGTCACAGTTCCCATAAACCCTTAGAGCTCTTGCCCAATATCATAGTCAGTTATGACAAGTGAGTGCCTGGTGTATGCTCTGGGTCTGAGAAAACACCTTTGCTTTTTCTTTTATTGAACAGTGATTATTTCTTAACTTATAATTGCTAAAATTTTCTCCTTTTATTTTCCTTTATCCACAGAATCTCAGTTGAATTCTATTTTATATAAGCTAATATGCTTCTTTTTATATCTGTTACTTTATATTCCTCTAAAGGGTGTCTGAAAGGGCTCGTAGGACATATGTGCTTGGAAAAAATAGACTTACTCATATTTCAGGTAACAATTTCCCTAGCTTTATCCAAAGTGAAAACACATGAGAAACTTACTGATTTCACATGGTTATAATTTACATAAATGTTGATACCCAGGAAACTGAGACAGAGAGGGGGGCATTTTAGTTAACTAGTGATGATATGGGCCTTGCCCAATCATTGTCAGGGAGTCCAAATTTAAACTCACTAAATGAAATGAACACACATGAAGGGGGTGGAGTGCCAGCAGCAAACTGTTTATTTCCACGGGTGTTTATGTTTGTCTCTCATACGATTCATGATTACCATCACTTTGTTATTTCTCATTTTGTTGACATGGAAAATATTATTTTGATACCAAAGTCAAAGAGAACAACTGTTTATGTAATCATAAACTTTTGCTTCAGAAGCATGCGTGGCTTTTTTAAACTTTATCCAGGATGAAAATAATATTTGTAGTGACCAATTTGACTACTAAGCTATTAATCAAATGAGAAGGATTCAGAAGAACTGATTTTAATTCTGGTCTGCTACCAACATACTGTGAATGTGTTTCAACGTCTGAATACCTGAATGCTTTCAAATATAGAATGGCAGTGTCAAAGTCTGCTTTTCCTGCCTCCCAACTTTTCTGATTGCAAATGAAATGTGAATTTGTTATGATATGTGAATATTTTTAAAAAGAACTTCATGAGAACTGAAAATATAAAGCAAGCAGTAAAAACAATAAATATATTTTCAACAGAATATAATGCAAATACAAATACTATGTTCTTCATTTAAGCCAAAATGTAGATAAAATGTCTCCTTTTGTTATTAACAAGGTAGGCCTAGAATATATGCAATCTCCAGTTGCACCATCTACACACATTGTTATTTAAGGAATTTTATTTTGTACCAACTACAACCACATTGTAAGTGTGGTTATATACAGCTTATATATATACATATATATACTTACATTTAAATATATATATACACACACACTTAACAATGTGGTTGTAGTTGGTACAAAATATACTTACATTTAAATATATATATACACATACACATATACACTTAAGTGTATATATACATACACACTTAAATATAAGTATATATGTATATATGTGAGCCTATTGTGTGTGTGTGTGTGTGTGTGTGTATGGGGGGGGCTCATGATTCTGCACGCTATACAAGCATGGTGCTGGCATCTTCTAGGGAGGCCTCAGGGAGACTTTACTCATAACAGAAGGTAAAGCAGAGGCAGGCATGTCAGATGGTGACAGATGGAGCAAGAGGAGTGGTGGTGGGAAGATACTACATACTTTTAAACAACCATATATGGTGAGAACACACGATCTTCAGGACAGCACCAAGCCGTTGGGATCTTCCCCCATGACCGAAACACTTCTCACCAGGCCCCACCTCAAACAAGGGGGATTACAATTCAACATGAGATTTAGAGGGGATAAAATTCTAACTATAATAATTCTATTCAGTATAAAAATAATAAATATATAAATGTTATATATAATTAAAAGTGCTTTTAAACATTTTCTTGGAAAAACTCTTAAAATCTAAAACTCAATACTTCATTAATGTAGAATAATTCAAAATTTGTCAGAAATAACCAGAACATATTAAGAATCTGTGTGTGCGTATGTGTTTAATTAAATAATTTTATTCTTCACAAATAATGGTATACTTGGAATTCTTTGAGATTTGTTCAG